TCATTTTTTAGATATCTATATAGATTGTGTACACCAGTGGTTCCCAAACTTTTTCTTCTGCGCCGCCCCCAGTGGTTTCCAAACATTTTCTGCGCCCCCCCTATGGATTACAAATGGCTGTCTGGTTGAAACGACGCGTGTGACTTTTTTGGGGACAAAATGAATGTACGTAGCTGAAAATAGACACCAACATCGGTAGCCTACTTGTTAAGCTTAAGGTTCTGTATTGATATTAGCTAGTCATTATTACCTGCATCCAACAGCTTTACTCAACTCAGTCGGTTAGTTTGGAGGGAAAAAATGTGAAAAGTTCTTGGCGTTTTGCTGGTTTGCTGCCGTGATTCTAACACAAACCTACGTAGCTCCGCCCAGCAGCAGGTCTCCTCCAGCGCGAGCGTCGTAGCGCTCATGTTGCGTTTAAAGGCGGCTCGGAAAAACAGTTTACATGTTAACAACGGATTAAACAGTTTTAACTGCTGATAAAAGTGACAGAGGACACAAATATGGGAAGTGTGGAAGCATCTACTGTATCAAAGTGACATAGGAATAACAGAGAGTTGGCCATTCTAAGGTAAAAACCCAGCACATACAGTGTTCATGTTTTTTTTTTTTTTTCATCCAGACGGCTTCCCGCGCCCCCCCTGCAATGACACGGCGCCCCTCCTAGGGGGCGCGCCCCACAGTTTGGGAACCTCTGGTTTAGGAGTTCACAGATTGCAATTTTCTGGCCGATCACCAATCTTTAGAAAGTATGACCTGCCAATACGGTTTTTATTTTATTTTTTTGTATGAAATGTTGCTAAATATAGGTATTGTTGTACCATTTTAAGCAGACAATAAGAACATCTACAAAATCTGGTCTTGTTGCTCTGTCACCCACAGGAATAGACTTCAGCAGAGATGGATGCTATATGGCTTTAGCCGAGCGCCGTGATTGCAAAGACTATGTTAGTATATTTGTATGTGACGACTGGCATTTACTCAGGGTAAGTAGGACACCGCTTTGCTTTTTAAAATTTTTAAATTATTATTTTTTAAATAGTTGATTCCATCTTTGCATAATCAACTTTGTTCATTTATATTTTGTCAGAATGTCTTAAATTGTTATTTTGTGTTTATTATTTTCAAATTGTGTTTGTATTATATATTTAATTCATTTTTTTTTTACTTATTTCACAGCATTTTGAGACTGAAACTCAGGACCTTGCAGGATTGGAGTGGTCTCCTAATGGATGTGTGCTAGCGGTGTGGGACAGCTGTCTAGAGGTCTGCTCCTTTAAGATTCAACAACTGAAATAAACTAACTGTACTAATGGCAAATATAGATATGAACCATACTTGCCTCAATGCACTAAAAAAGCAAAAGCTACCGGATGTTTCTTAAAGCTGCTGATTGTGCTCATTGAAGTTAGACTTGTCTGTCTTCCACTTTTCCCAGTGAGCAATTTTTTATTGAAACCAAAACCTGAACACACTGTTGATTTGATCTTGTGTCTGTGTTAACTTATACTTTATTTAGCCTATTATATCATCTTTAATTCTGCCAGTTTTGAGCACTTTTGTGTAGATCAGACATATTCAACATTGTTTACATTTTATTATTTTATATACTTACTGTAAATGACTAAATTAGCTGTTAGAAAAAGAAACAAATTGTTTTTCTTTATTTAAAACATACTCCATAAAGGTATTCTAAAAATAAAAAGCTGTTACTGATAGACATAGTGATGGAGAAATCATCTTATTGAAATTTGTTAGAAGTCCAGTGAATTGTAGATTAATTTTGTAATGACTCTGGCTTTAAACATTGCTTTTCTTTTAGAAAATGAGGCCAATCTAAGTACCACCTGCTTCATTCTTTTCAGATCTTGAAGCTGCATAAAAATGCCAAACAGTTGCTTCAATACCTTAGTTTATTGTTTATTCTCCACAGTATAAGGTTTTGCTATATTCCTTGGATGGCCGGTTGCTGTCGACCTACTGTGCCTATGAGTGGTCCCTCGGTGTGAAGTCTGTGTCCTGGAGCCCCAGCAGCCAGTTCCTGGCTATAGGCAGTTATGATGAGAAAGTACAGTTTGTTAGAAAGTGTCAACATTTTATATGCACCAATGGTCACTATTTGTAGATTTCTTACTGTGTTTCTTATATTTGTCAGGTGCGCATCCTCAATCATATCACGTGGAAGAAAATCATACAGTTTGAGCATCCTGCAACCATTGACAACACGAAAGCTGTGAGCATTGACGATGAAATTAAAATACTTTGTAGTTTATTTTTCTAATCAAGCTTATTTGCTACATCCTATGTCCTTAGATTGTGTATAAGGAAGTGGACAGAAGACCAGCAGTGGTCAGTGATGAGCTGTCACTACACAACATCACAATGGGCTCCACGCTTTTCAGCACCCAGAGCAAGTGTATGTCAGCAATACTCATTTATAACAAAACAATATTTTATTAAAAAAAAACAATAATAATCCCAATTGAAGTATCCTAGTTTGTTTACAAAATCAGAGTTGTTTTTCCTCATCCAGATGAGATCTGCCCCCTGCCTGTCCAAATTCCTGTGGTCAAGCCAGAGCCAGACAGAGCTAATCCCAAAATAGGTGTGTCTGTTCTGGCATTCAGCTCAGACAGTCGCTATCTTGCCACCAAAAATGGTAAGTACCGATGGCTGTTTGTTTTTTTTTTTGTTTGTTTTTTTTAACTTATCGGTGACCCCAGTAAACTGTGTGAAATGTGTTTATGGCTTCTAAATTTTTCAGTAATATATTCTTTCATACTCAACTGTTTTTCACCCTCCTGGTATTTTAACACCATTATAAACAGAGTGGCTGTGAAAGTTTATGAGCATTTCTGTCTCTGTAGACAACATGGCCACTGCCGTTTGGGTGTGGGACATGCAGAAGATGAGCCTGGATACTGTGCTGGAGCACACATCCGCTGTACGCTGCGTTATGTGGGACCCCCGTCGGCCCCGACTGGCCCTGTGTACCGGCAACAGCAAACTTTATCTTTGGTCTCCAGGAGGCTGCGTTTCTGTTCAGGTCCCTGCTGAAGGTATCGATATTTAAACTGTGACTTTATTGGTTAAAATTTCCAACATTTTGGGTTAGCTGTTAGCTTGGGCTATGTGTGGAATAAGACATCCTCTATAAACCTTGCAAATACTATTATTTTCAGAGCTTACTGTTATCTTTGACAAAAGCTTTTCTCTTTTTTTTGTACGTGTTTAGTGATCAGTTACTCCTCCATGTTTTTTTGTCTTTCAGGTAGTTTTCAAGTCCAGTCCCTAAAGTGGCACTGCAGTGGTGACTCTGTGATCCTGCTTGGGAAAGACCAGCTGTGTTTGTGCTATATGGACACTGACTACGAAGAAAAGTAAAAGTCACAACATTTACTCCAGAGTTAGTTCAGGTCTAATTTTGTACTTGAAGATCAGTGGAAGCACTCCTGGATATCTAATATATCTGGATTATAGCAGCTTACAAACCAAAAAATGTTGAAAACCTGATGACATTCCTACTCCTTCAGAAAAAAACAACTTTTTAAACTAAAAGATACTAGTTTAAAAACTAGTGCTAGTTTTTTCAGCACTAAGCCTTAGCCTTAAACTATTTATGTACATGTTTCTTTGAATGTTTGTACTTGTTCTAATTTTTTTTGAAATAAATACTTCAGTTTCTTACTTTGATGGATCTACTTTGTAAACTGTAATTTCCAATTTTATACACATAATTTCCAATTACGTGTATAAAATTAGAAATTACCTTCACATAAATAAGTTAATCATAATAGTCTTTAAGATCCAGAATGAAATTAATATTGATACATCTTTTGTAAACCCCCTTTTAAAGCATGAAGCTGTATGACCTGCACAATGAATAACCTAGCTAGTAGCAAGGACAGAAAAAATCTAAATGGTTACATGTGCAACTATGAAAGTACATCCTGTGTGGCTTAACAGGCTGGGATCATGAACTATGTTATACTAGCTCTGAAAAGGGAAGAAAGCAATACACTTCTTCTGCAACCTACAATAAGGAACCAAATAAACTGTCATTAGAAAAACAGGAACGTCTTTATTACTTCTTTTCAGTCTTGGCTGCTGAGCTGCAAACAGAGATCAAATCGAAGCCTCAAAACATTTTAACAAGACATTTCTTTTTTTAAATAAAATACTTTTCAACTGGCATACATAAGACATTTTGTATTAGCATTCATACGTTAATTTTAAAAATACAGATGAACACTTATTTACAACTAAACATAAGTTATATTGTGCAACAACAACAAAAAAATCTGTCATGCAAACTTGGCGTGCAAGGACCATGCGCAAGGACAGAAAAATGTGCTGCGAGACATCTGGTTAGGTTTGCTTGTTTTGAATTTTTTGGTTGGACAGGCATTGACCTAGATTTTTAAAAAACGAAGTTATTTGGATAAAGGAGGAACTGGCTACTCACTCTTCTCAGGCACATCTCAAAAATTCTCATTGCGGATAAAGTTTGGATTCTGTGGATTCGTCAATGTTGGTATGGAAATGTTGGCTCATTCTGGTTGAACCATATTTTCACCATTTAAGGCTTGGTGAATCGGTTAAGGTGAAAGCCGAGCCATTCAGGACGTCTCGGTAGGCAACTGATGTTTTTGGCACAAATCATTGTTAAATCTGGACCTGACGAACTGAACCAATTTTAAATCTATCCTACACTAGGCACCAGACATGATGTGTCTTTTACTGAGCATTTTTATCTTTGGTGACATTTTTTCTATTGCTCCACAACAAATGTAATTGAGTTTGCTTCACTGATACCTGGTTTTCTTAAGAATACATTTTGTTCCAATACCTGAAGTACTCTTTGCATCATGTCTGAAGAAATGCTGCTACTCTCACTTTGCCATGGGTTGACATTATTTATTTACTTTGCTAAATCTCTCAATTTTCTCCATGGTTCCTATGCAGGCTTAAAAAAGTTTAGAATTTCCTTTCGGTAATTTACAGGTCTGGGTAGCTTTAGAAATAAAATAAGAAAGGGTATGGGTCTTCAGCTTTTGAAAATGTAAAAACATTAAAACAGTTTGGTTTATTACCATATAGCCTTTAGTTTACACTTAATGCTGATCTTGGTTTTTGGCGTTGTGAGCTGAAATTTGTAGCTTTGCCTCAGGTGATAATGGTGTGCAACACTTTAGAGTTCCTAAAGATGTTGAGCATAGAAGTTTGTCAAATTACAATGAAGTGAAAAAGGACCAAACATGGTCATCTTTGGCAAATTATGTTAAAATAGAACCCAGGTTTTTTCATTGCACTACTTCAAGGCATTTTTCAACTTGCCTTCATCAAAAATGGCCAAGTTTTAATAATCTGTAGCTCAATGTTCTTTAGGAGGAAACATGGTTTACTGGAAGCAAAACAAAAAGGAACAAGATCCAAACTCCTGCATAGAACACCAGTAACAAATCCTTTCTCCTTACTCAAGAAAATTAAACATAATGAAATAAAACAACATGTAACTTTCACTGTGCGCATGTTGTTGATGTAGAAAAGCAATTTGTTTGTTAGTCTCCTTATTGTGTTTATCATATGACATAATTGGCAAATTCCCTTTTGAAATAATGCAGCCATGGAGTTCAGTACCATGTAATGCACCAAGTCTAACACAATTGTTTTAACTAACATTGTTTCATGGTTTGTTGCTGCAGATAAAAACTCAAACAAAGCCAATTCCTAATTAAACCCATTTAAGATCTGAAATGACCCCTAAGTTTCAGGAACTTACTAAATCTACAAGGAGTTTAGGAGTTTTGCAAGTTATCTTGCATACAGCATCTGCTGCAGAGAGGGGAGTGTGAGGTTGATCTGCAGATTTTTAATGGAAAGCAGTGAATAAAATAAAATGGCAGTCATTACAGCTCCAACTGTCTTTTACCTGCTGCAGCCAGACCACACGTCTCCAACACCAAATTAAGGAAGTGTGGACATGTCACGGGCTCGACTGAGACACACACACACACACACACACACAGGCAAGCTGTACTGAACCGCAGCTTCTGTCAGACAGTGCAGTTTAACAAAGACAGACGGGGACAATCCCATGAGAAACTCAGAAGCCGATTTTGCCACGCGTCATGGAGTAGCCCAGCTTCGCTTCGTTGTTGATGAAAGACATGATGCCCAGATAGGTCTCGATCAGCAGGGGTCTTTCCAAGATCAGGACGCCGTTAGCCCGGCCGGGGATGGGGTGCTCCTTGTGGGCTTTCTTCACCGCCTGTATCAGCTGGGTTTTGAAGCTGTCCAGCTGGGGAAGAGAAGAAATGCATGAAACAGGATCAAACTTGTTTGTAAACTTTTAATATACCGTTTATATCCTTATCAAAACTCAGACGAAAAGTGGATAATTCATAGTACTAAAGCGTTATAGCCAAATGAGCTTCATTTGTTGCATATAGAATATGCATGCAGAAAGGTCCAAACAAGTGCTACTGCCTTGTCAGTAAGAAGGGGAAAAAAAGCAGCTTTGAGCTAAGCTATTTATGCAGATTAAGGTGGTATGAATGAATGGCCCTTTGTTCTGGAGGATTACTAATACCACTAGAGCTCTGTTGTTTCCAGCTGGCCTGTGACTGCTGGAGCTGTTGTTGCTCAATGTGCCTCAAACAACATTTAGATCACCGATGACAACACTATGTGGTAGATTGCATTTCAGGCTGCCGTGCTTATCAAAGTGAAACTGAGGAATGCACTTGCTATGAAATCATTTGTTGGCCAGCTTAGTGAAGCAGATCATACCTGGCAGAGGGAGGCCACCTTCTCATCGGCGCGGGCCATGGGGTGCTCTGTGAAGGTGGAGTACGGCATGTCTGTGGACCAAGGGTTCCAGCGGTTGAGAAAAGAGGCTCGGGGACGTTTGTCCCACTGAACGCGAATCCCGTAGCCCTCTCTTCTGCAAAACAAGTCAGGAACAGGCCTGTCACAATAAGCAATAGCTCAATTAATTGCATGATAAATTAACGTGAACGCATTTGTCTCTTTTCTCTCTCTCTCTCTCTCTCTCTCTCTCTCTCTCTCTCTCTCTCTCTCTCTCTCTATCAAACCTGGTCTCTTCAGTCTGGTGCATTGGTCTCAACTAGACCTTTGTTTTTAAGACAAGTTTGTTTACAGAGAGACTTCATAATTTTTGTTTTTGTTGTTTTGAATGTTTAAAATGTCTCCCAGTTCTAGTGTAAAATGTTCAATAGAATTTAAAGTTTATTGATCTTTGAGTAATGTGTTCTTGCATTCTAATGCCATTATCATTATATTACTTCCAAATGGTTTCAAAACAACATTATAATTTATCGCAATAACTTCTGGGGCAATTTATCGTCCATCAAAATTTGTTATCATGACAGACCTAGTCAGGAACAATGTAACTTTTTAAGGAAATTACTTTTTTGATTTTATTTTTTTTTACCAAGCACTGCAGCATCTTTAAGTAGCTTTTATCTGTGTCTGAGTTTTCCCTTGTATTTAATGCCTGAGAGATAAAATGGTGAGACATAACATAAGCAGAGATTACGAGAAACATTATCAAACACTGTTTGTGTTGTCAGATTTTAGTTACTAGAAGGCAACCATGACATACGTATTATTTAAGGCCTTGCTCAGACGTGGAACTAACATCTGTCCTGTGTGGCTTGAATGCACCTGGATGGCGCTAAATATATGTGTTGACACATTTAAGAGGATTGAGGACGAGCTTGCATTAGTTTACCAGTCCAAACACAAACCGTACCAGACACGACAAAGACATGCCAGACGTTTTTCAGCGACAAACATTTGATAAACAGTCTTGTATTTTTAGCTACTTTTAATTTAAGGTAGTAGATGGTTAATATTTTGGCTATAATGTTGAATGTTTATGCTCATTCCCTGCAGTCCATAGAGGAGATACAAGGAATTCCTCCTACTTCAGTTTTCAAAGTAAACCACACAGCAGCATGGACAACAACATAAATAATTAATGAATCTTATTAAAAGTTTTGCATCAGTCAGTGTGCACGCGGTTTGTTTTCTTATGTTTGTGTAGATTACCAACTGTAGCTACTGTCTCCTATTCAGTTTATCTTTTCAGAACACAATCTACTTGTGTTGCTTAAGCCACGTGAAATATGGGGGGTCAAAGTTCACCCTTCAGTTTTATGCCACCGATACAGGTCAGGAGGTCATCGCAAGCTCCTAACGACTATTTGACCTACTGATATCACGATGTGGCGTGGTTATGCGTTTATTTGCACGTACAGCGAGTTAAGTAGATCTAATCAATAAGGATGACAGTCATGCTTAACGCTGTCCTCTTGTAACCGAACCAACCAAGACAAAAGTGAGAGCTAGATCTGAACCATCCAACATGAACATCCCAGGCTGTTTTGTTTTTCTCCTTTCTTTCCTACAACAACCTGGCTGGTTCGAATTCATTAATGACAAATGTTGCTTTCAAGGGAAATAACGTCACACTGTTTTTTGACCGACTGGTCTCATGCCCGTTTACTTGAAGCAAATAATACTGTCATGCTGCAAAAAAACAAAAATGACCCACTTGTTGAGAGATTTCGGTGGGAATTCAAATTCCCCCACGGAGATGGTGTCTACGGCGTTGAGGGATATCCTGACAACTTGCTGGCACAGCAGATTAATGAAGTCGTACTTGCACACTAGCAGAGACCTGCAAACAAAAAAAAAACACATTTTCTGTTTACACTTCCTAAAACCACGCAGGCAGCATGGAAAGCTTATTTACTCACTTATCGGTTATTAGAACAAGTCTCTCCTTCTCGTTGTTCCAATGGTCTACTCTGTGGAAATCCCACAAATAAACATCAGAATATGCGGATTTATGTTGGGGAAAATCGGCTGTTAGTTTCTCATCAGCTGATGATGATGATGGCAGGCCCGGCCTGATGGATACTCACTCTGCCAGCAGCCAGACGCTGAGCACCTCCCCGTCCTCGGATGGGAGCGCCACGGTCCGGATGTCGTTCACAGCCTGCTCGATGGTACCTGGCTGAGATCAGCATCACACAACAACCGCCAATCATCAGCATCACCTGCTCAGACAAACAGCATCTCTGTGACGTCCTACTGCACTGCTGTAAAAAATACTGCAGTAATATAGTACATCTTGTATCACGACAGTTTAGTGGAGCTTTCTGGCAGCTTTAAATTTAGTTATTCACATTTATATGCAGCTCACCCTGAACACGAAGTAGTCCTTGACTTTCGCTTGCATCGTGGGGTTGTGCACATGAAAAGGCGTGAGCGTTTGTAACGGGGGGCAGCAGGCCACGGAAGCTGCGTGTCCGAAGCCCCGTCCGGCGGCCTCCGGAGGCGTGAAGGCGACCTCGACCCCCTCCTCGGTCTCTGCGTGGAGGAGAACCGCAGCACCCGGGCTCTCCGGGTCCACCGTGTCGTTCAGCTGGAGCATGGCGGAGGAGACGATGTTCGCGAAGTTTTCCTGACGACTAACGCCGAATTTCACATTAGAAAATGGATTTCCGAGGACGCGGACTCTCCCATAGCGCACGAATGTTTTGATAGTCGGGGGTAACAAGGAAGCAGTTCCGGCTGGCTTCTCGTTTCATTTCCTTCCTCTTAAAGGGACATTCATCCAGCTCACTGTGGATTAATTGTGCTTTAAACCACTCTTCCCTTTTTTCAGAAACATTTTGCAGACGTACATTCCATGCAACTCATTGTCATCATTCACGTTTATTAAGTTAAGTGGTAAAATAAATATTTTCACCATTAAGAAGTAAACATTATGCCTCAAAGTATAGTTAGCTACTGATGTTTCCTTGCATGACACTGACTCGTTTTACAAGTTGTTACTTGTTTAATCTCTTGTTCGAAGTAATAGCAAATAAAAATAACCTTAACAGGTAGCAAGCTACCTTTTAAATGAGCTAATGCAGTCTAAAAATGGACTTTAGGTCATGACAAACAGCCCCCTCTAGTAGACGTTTTTGATAATTGCTACTCCTGGCCATCAACTCTAGTGCCTTCAACTTCTAACATAAAACAGGTGGTTCATGTCAATTAAACATGGTCAAAATAATAATAATAATAATAATAATAATAATAATAATAATAATAATAATAAAACAACCAGAACTATCATTGTACTGAAAACATTATGTAATGCTTGCCATTAACTCATTTCGAAACTGAATTTTATTTCTGAAGATTACCTCAAGACTTTCACCCTGCTTGCTCTGTTTTTGCTCT